CATATGTAATGGGAGCTGTTTTAGTTTTGAAAAATCTACTTTGGTTTGAATGCTAATTAATCTGATTATTGATGTGGCTTAGGCACACTTTAAATATTTTCTGCAGGTTTCTATTTTATTCCCTCCTGTCTTGTGTTAATAAGTTCCCCTTTCTAGTTACATTAAGGACTTTTTCAAAGAAGGAATTCTTACTCTAGTAATTTGGGTTAGGAAAATGCTAGATGAGTTCTATCTTTTTAGATCGCTAAGGGAAGAGAAGGAAACTACCTATATGTGGGAGTGTTTGTTTTCCAGCCTTTAGTTACTAAAGTAGTAATTTAACATTTTGCCACCAAAGAGTTGCCAAAATTGCGGTGGCTCAGAACTTACATGCAGTGTTAAGGAGTTCAGCCTAGCAGACGTGGTTGGGAAGCCTGGGGTTTGGTGCTAATTCACTTTGTCTCTGCAGATTACACCCTCACCTTTGCTGAGCCTGACTGTTCTTAAATGAAAAATGAGACTTGGTCTAAGCCTTTTGCTTGCTAAAGACTTCTGTGGCTCCGATTCTTGAATAGGAAAGGAACAGTGCTGTGATTTGTCTTGATGGGGTGGGGCTAAATCGGTCATGCCCCCAAACCAATGAACCCAGTGTACGGCCTCTCGGTGTTGTTGAGACACAAGGTAGTGAGCAATGACCAAAGGAAGGTGAGATTACACAGACTGTAGGCTAGCAGTGGCTATATGCTTCACAAAAGGATTCCCATCACAAATGTTTTATTTTATATTTATTTGTTACTATTATTTACTTTGGTAGGACTGGGCTTTGAACTCAGGGCTTCACACTTGAAAAGCAGGTACTTTACCACTTGAGCCACACCTCCAGTCCATTTTGCTTTGGTTATTTTGGAGATGGGCATCTCAAGAACTACTTGCCTGGGCTGGTCTCAAACCTCGATCTTCCTCATCTCAGCATCCCAAGTAGCTGAGATTACAGGTGTCAGCCATAAGTGGCTGGCTAGGATTGTTTTAAATGATGATCCAAAGCTGGCTATAAATGAGAAGCTTTTAAGAAGTATTGAGGGACAGTGGCAGAAGTCTGTCACCTGGATTTGCACCCCCCACTCTGCTAGTAGCTGATGACCAGCTCTTCAGTGCTGAACCTGATTTCTTTCTTTTTTTGATGGGACTAGGGTTTGAACTCAGGGCTCCACACTTGCAAAGCAGGCACTCTACCACTTGAGCACAGCTGCAGTCCATTTTGCTCTAGTTATTTTGGAGATGGGGGTCTCATAAACTATTTGCCTGGGCTGGTTTCCAACAGCAGTCCTCCTGGCCACAGACTCCCAAGTAGCTAGGACTATAGGCATGAGCCATGGGTGCCCACTATGATTTCTCAAGGTGGCTTGATTTTGACTCGGGAGGTTACACTGATTCTCCCTGTGTTCAGAATTTTGATATTTAAGTTAAAAGGACCTTTGTCCAAAAAATTAAATCAGTCTGATGACTTCCTTGATTTTCTGATGGCATTTTACTCCACATAATGGAAAAGAAAAGGCCATGACTATGTTTTGAACATCTGTCCCCTGGTCTATATGTTACTCCCCATGCATGTGTTGGATGCCTCCTCCACCTGCTGCTGTCAAATGCGACTTTCTGTCCTGCAAAATCTCCATCTCCCTGGGAGTCACCCCTCAAAATACACCGATTTATTTCATTTACACCAGCTTTTAGGTAATATGCACACCTTTAATGGGGCTAATAAGAGATGAGTAATTGCTTTTCACTTAAACTCTACTTAATCCATGCGTGTGGATGTTTATTCAGTATGCATTGCAGGTGGCTGTTTTAGTGGCTCTTATTGCTATTTAAAGTTAATAAATTAAGAAAGTACCACCCAAGGCTATTTTTAAGCTATAGTCTTAGTGCCCTGGAAATGCGTACATTGCTCAAAGACATTAACTGCTATTTATATAGTTAATTGGTAATGACTCATTAAAGAAATGTATTTCTGTTCATGGGTCATTCTGAAAGCACCAATTTAATTACAGCATGACCCTCAGACACATTTTCTTTTTAAATTTATTTTTATTATCATACTATTGTACTCAGGGTACGTTGTGACATTTGCAAAAGTGCTTACAATGTATTATAGTTGAATTCATCCCCTCCATCATTCTCCCTTATCCCCCCAACTCGCACATTCAACACGTCTCATTTTTCCATTTTCACACATGAGTACATAATATTCCCACCATGTTCACCCTCCTACACCCTCTCCTTATATCCTCCCCACATTTGCTTCCCATGGATAATTAGTAACTATGGATAGAGTAGTGTCTACAATCTGGGGAGGCCCAGGAATGTGAGGGAGAGGCACCATCACCCCATTTAAATCTTCTGAGTTAGGGACCCAGCTAGTATAAGAAGGGGACGGGGCAAGGGGCCTCTCTGTGCTGTAGGTGGTCCTGTAGGTGTGCTGTTATCAGAGTATTGTTTTCACTCATGTCTGAGGATAATATAGCTCGCAAGATCACTTCCCAATTCAGATATGAGGTATAGATGTCAAATCTCATTAGTATTGACCTTCAGTTTGCTTGCATTCTGCCTCCACACATCAGATGCTCTCTGTGTTTTAATTTACAACACACTTGTGATGCTTACACTCTCATAGGACACACAGAGCACCCATGAGCGACCTTTCAAAATTGGTATTGCTGATTGATATGCCATCAGGTGTCATGTTCCACCATGTTTTCAGTCATCTCAAATTATTCTTTTTCCCCTCTGCTTTGTTGAAACATTGAGGAGATAGAATAACCTCGGGACTGGGCACAGTGTCACAAGAAGGGAAGGGAGTCCCTTTCCCCAGGGGCCTCCCTGAACCTACAAGACAGTGTTCTCCTAAGCTTTGAGCACTGCATGCCTAACAAGTAACTGAGGAGCAGCAAAGGCTTAGCAACAGATAAGTACATGGTTGGGAGGAAGTTCCTTAATGGGGACTACCAAAGACCTTCAAGACCTAACCAAGAAGATTCAGATTCCCTGATAGGAGGTGAGGAACAATTTAGGATTTGCCGGCCTTCTACAAGTCACACTTTTTAAAGTGCTAGCCGCACAGTCAGGCATGAGAATATTTTTTTTTAAATTGTAATTACTGGCTCATATGTAGACAAGGACTCTAAAGACCCTGTCTTCATTCATCTATTATAGCAAGTCTCCTTTTAAAAAGATAATAAAAAATTTGTTATTGGCATAGAGCTCTCTCTGTATGTAGATACACATATTTTAACTACAACAAACTTTGGTTCATTATGAGTTTTTATCATGAATTTACCTTATGTATGAATTCAAAAAGATCAAGGGCTTTCTGTGGTTCCCACCCATTAGTCTTATATGAAGTAACAAGGGTCCCAGTCTTCTTTATGTTTTTGTACTCTGGCTTCATAGTAAAGCTTTGTAGTTGGTCCTCACCATCTGAGTCACACTGGGGAAGGAGAGAGAATTGGACTTGCATTTTGAACAATTATATTAACCTTGGCTAATGGCAGCTTTCTTTAGCTTCCCGCTAATTTAAAGTCGGGATATCCAAAGAAATTGAACTGTCATGGGCTCATACTAGATTCTCCACATCAATAAAGGAGTGCACTGGGGTGTTGGGTAGAGAGCACATGAGGACCTGTCCTGCTGCTTGAGAGGTCATGGGAGTTCATGGTACTCAGTCCTAAATCCTAAGTGTTTCAGGTGCAGCGAGATTTGTATAAATCCTAAATGGTGGTGGTGGAGGACATCTTTGGCATGAAAACATCATTTCTTTTCCTCTTACAGCCAATAGAGAAATTAAAGTTTGTGGGTTTTTTAAAATTTTTTTATTTCAAAGACTAGTTAGTCTGTATACAACAACTGCTTTGAGAATCTTATTTTTATTTTAATCTCTAGTTTCATTCAGCAGTACACTTTGTGTATCACAAATTCCCCTTTCGTCCCATAAGATACTAGATGCCTGTCTGGGTTCATTATGTAGAAGACTGACCTTATTTTCCCACCTGGAGGTCAGCCCTCTCTCTTGGGGCCCCTCCCTGCTCTTAGACTCTGACCAGTCATCTCATTTAACAAGTGTCCCCTGGCATTCTGGCTGGTGTAACTGTGTCTCCCGGTCCCCTGAGGAGTCATTGCTCTCTCTGTCCCACCCAGTTGTGAGGACAATGGAAAGGTCTTTAGGCTTGCCTGATTCTTATTTCTTTTAACACATAAGAATGGATTCAAGGTTATCTCCATCCCAATGTGACTTACTCTCACTGCATGGGGATAACCCTGAGTGTGCCCATGGGAGTGTATTAGCAACAGGAATGTCATCTGTCATGCGTTGCATGGAAGAAGAGAAAAGGTTGAAAAGTGGAGTGTCCCAGAATAAGCTCTTTGTTCAAAATGCCTGCGTTTGACTCATTTTGTAAGCCACACAGGGCCTACCATGATGCCTCACAAATAACAGGGACTCCATAAATGTTTCTTGATGGAACTAATGAATGTAACCCAATAGATTAATAGATCCCGCTGTTTCATCATTCTGAAGAAGGAAAATAAAATATAGCACTTTGGGGTTGTTGTAACATCACTTGACCAAAAAAAGGTGCATTTTCTTCTTGTAGAAAACTTTCAACAGATAAAAAGTGAGTTGCATTTTGCACACTGACAACCTGTACCACTGGCCAGACCCAGCAAACACAAGGGTCACTTTCCTAACCCATGATCACTACAGTGCCTTATGTTTTTCTGTCTAGGTGGTGCTGGTAAAAATGTCATCACAAGCTATTACCCTAAATCTCACATATTCTGAAGGAATAGGCGCTGATCCTGTCATTTGAGGACTACAAAATATTTGTCTAGACGTTTGAGCCAATCTGTATTTTTATTTAATGTGGAATTGGCGAGAAAATAACAAAGACAAATTCAAATGCTTGCATCTCTAACCTTGTCACAGTGTCTGAACATTCATTCATCATCATTATCTTGAATTCTTACAGCCAGCAGACTTCATAGGAAAGCAAGCACTGAAACAGATTAAAGCCAAGGGGCTGAGACGGAGGCTGGTCTGCCTCACCTTGGCAACGGAGGATGTGGACCCAGAGGGAAATGAGAGCATCTGGTACAAGGGCAAGGTGAGCGCTGAGGACCTCGTTGCCAGGGCCACCATGTCATCTGCTGAAACTCTCCTTAGAGGCTTTTTATTCTAATTTATTTCCTTACTCAAAGGCAGATACACTTGATTTCTGAGCTACATTCAAGAAACAGAAAGTAATTAACTGAAAGGAAGATGAAATGCTGCTTATTTTTGAAAACATAAGATTCTGTATGTTTTGTTTTAAAAGAATAAACCTGAAAGAGTACTGGGGGGGGTGAATATGATAAAGTACATTAGGTGCATATATGGAAATGTCACGAGGAAACCTCTTACTATGTATAATTTAATAGACACCAAAAAGAAAAGAATAAACCCAAGGACTTGAAAAGTGTTGGACAACTGGGTAAGTATGAACGAGAGAATAGAACCATCAATGTGTTCACCACATCCATACCTGTGGATGCAAAATATGGAGTCTATAAAGGATCTGGCATTGTGAGTTAGTTCTCAGGGATCTTTCAGAAGAGGGAAACTAGCATATTTGCAGAAAAAGAATTCCAAATGAAAACATCTGTGGCCATGGGGTTGAGCCTTGGAAAGTGAAGTGAAAAGTGGCCACTCTTCATTTTTTTCTTTCACTATTTTCACTCTTTAGAAAAAGTGAAATTTTCCCCATTTGAAATGAGGCATTCTCTCTGTCTGCAATAAAACCAGGGTCTGTCAGGTGACTTATCCAGGGAACTTCATTTCCTCTACATTTACGACTATTTGTAAAACCCAGTTTGGTTCAGCATCTAGATGGCTCTCAGCTGGTGTCACCAGGCAGGCACAGAGAATTCAAAGCTTGTCTAAGAAGCTGTTCCATTTTAAGAAGAGTCAGTTTTGTCAGTTCCCAATACTCTGAGATTCCAAATCTGGGCTTTTTTACTCACTTACTGTTTTTTATTTTCTCTCTCAGTGAGAAGTTGCTAGAGGTGGGGAACCCTGTAGTATCAGATCACAATCTTTGAATTACTAAAAAAAAAAATGCACCTGATCTAAGGCATTGGCTATCTGACATAGAGTTAACATCTGTTCAGTTCCTACTGTAGGCCAGATGTTTTCATGTTCTTTCTCATTCACTTTTGCCACCTCCCTATCAGATATGTAGGACCATTTCTATTTGAAAGATGAGGCTCTGGGACTCAGAGAGGTTAAGTAAAGACCTTGAGTTTACACAGCTAGTTACTGAGGTTGCTGATTTCAAACCCAGGTATTCTTGGGCTTTGATTTCTTGTCCTTTCTTCTAAGGCATGCTGGATACTCCAGTTTGTTCTTATTTCTGTCCTTCTGATGTTGTCCTATAGTCTATTTTATTTTATTAAAAATATTTTTTTGGCAGTACTGGGGGTTGAACTCAAGGTCTCATGCTTGCTAGGCAAGCACTCTATCACTTAGCCACATTGCCAAACCCGTTTTGCTTTAGTTATTTTTCAGATGGAGTCTTGTGCTTGTATGCTCAGGACCAAACTCAGACCTCAGTCCTCCTACCTATGTCTCACTTTTTTTTTTTGGCCTGGGTTTGCCTTGAACCACAATCTTCCTATCTCCACCTCCCCGTAGCTGGGGTTATAAGCATGAGTCACTGCATGCAGTCATCTTTAGAACTTAATTCAATATCCACAGTTTTTGTATATCTCAGCAGTAGGTAGATGTTATCAAACACTGTGAAGCCAACAGAATTTTTTCAGATCTCGAGTTACTTTTCCTTTCTATCATTCTTCACAAGCCACCCTTCACTTACTGCTTAAATTGGACTCACCTTGCTCTTCTGTTTGAATTCTTCCTACTTTCCTCACTGTTTTTCCTTCCCGTACCCTTCTGTATCTCTGGTTTAGTCTCCTTTCTTAATATATGTACTTCCTAGCCTAGGGTGGCAGTGCATACCTGTAGTCCCAGCACTAGACTTTCAGGCCAGCCTGAATTACATAGCGAGACCCTGTTCTTCCTCCAGTTCAAGTTTGCTCACTATTTACAAGACTTCTACTCTTCACCAGCTCTGTTAACCAGTGACTTGACCTGATCCCGACCCCATCTCTGGCCCTCAGTTTTCACATCTACACAATGAAGCCGCTGGACGAGAGCATGTCTAAGGTTCTTTCTAGCTCTAATTAATTTTTTCTGTAGTCATTACATTTTCCCCACCCCATCTTTCCTGTATTTTACATTTTTCACTACAAACCTACCCAGCTTTCTCAGTACTTCTGAAGATGGCTTACAGTCATTCTTCTACCAGCATTCTGTTTTACTCTGTCACAGATGGTAGCAGTATTGTGCTGTAATGTTCTGTATGCAGCCCATGTCAACCACAATCAACCCACAGATTTTTAGCCACATTAAATAGGATGATACCCAAAGTCAAGTTAAAAACCTGAAAAACCAAGCTCCATTTAAAAAAATTTAGTTCCTTTGCCAACTGTATACAGTGAGTTTACACACTGTATCTGTTTCTTTCTTACCATATGGCCTCTGCTTACAGAGCTTCTGATGTTATAGGAACATTTCTTTTGAAGTTCTTAATATACGCTTGTCTTCCATGCTTAGTGGGGTCATAATTTCATCATGAAGATAGTTCTTTCAATCCTCTTTCTCAAAGGCCCTTCTTTAATTTTTTTTTTCTTTTTTTTGCAGTACTGGGGTTTGAACCCAGAGCCTTGTGCATGCTCAGCAAACAATCAGTCACTGAGCTACATCCCCAGCCCTTAAATTTTTTTTATTTTTATTGACACATAGTAATTGTACATAATTATAGCATACAGTGTGACATTTCAATTCATGTATATAATGTAATGATCCGATCAGAGTAATTGGCACATTGTCATTTTAGACATTTATCATTTCTTTGTGTGAAACACTTAAACCCTCTCTATTAGCTATTTTGGAATATTCAATTAATGGTTGTCAACAATAATTACCCTACTGTGCTATAGAACAGCAGTTATTTTTCCTATCAAAGGCACTCCTTTGATTCTCTAGAATCTGGGATGATAGATTCCGCCTCCCCCCCATTTGTGTTGCTTTTATTATTTGGTATTTTATTGTTGCCAGAGATAGAGTACAAGTTTGTGCATTTATTCAGCAATTCTTTTGGTTACCTTCTATGTGCCAGCAATATGACAGGCACTCCAGTGAACAAAGCAGAAAGCATCTCTGTCCTCATAGAGTTTACATTTCAGGCAAGGAAGGGACAGACAATGAGCAAAATAAATAAAAGCCACGGCATGTCAGATGGTGATGAGTGCCCTGAAGAAAAGTAAAGTCCCGTTGGGAAGTGCTTAGAATTTTAAATGAGGTTTAGTATTTTAAAAATCAAGGAAGAAGAGTGCTCCTAAGAAGGACTTTCATTATTTTGGATGCTTTAGTTTTAGAAGCTTAGCTGGGAAGGAAGTTTTGAAGAAGAGGTTTGTGACAAGTTTGGAGAGTTTTTAATTAAAAAATTATTTTACTGTGGACAAGTTTGGAGAGTTTTTAATTAAAAAATTATTTTACTTCCAAAGTATTATTAAACTTGAGTGGAAAATTACTGCCTAGTCAGGACTCAGCCTTTGGCATAATTCATGTATCATACGATATTTTTGATGTAGTAAATAATTTTTGTTTCACCTATGTTTTTCATTACTTATATTTAGGTAGTTTATCACTGGTTTAAAACCCTGTCACAAATACAACTGTAGGCCAGATGACTTCGTTGGCAATGTCTATCAAAATTTAAGGTAGAAGCAAAAGCAATTCTACAAAGTTCTCTTAGAAAACAGAGAATGAACAATTTCCAACATTTTTATGAGGTCAGGTTTGCTAAAACACTTATAAGAAAAAAATTAAAACCAATATACAATATTCTTCATGAACAGATACCAAAATAGAAGAAAATACTCACAGTTGAATTTGACACTACAGAAAAGGCGGTTCATTCAAGAAATTCAAAGTTGTTTTAAGATTTGATAATCAGTCAATGTAAGTCACCCTTTAAAACAATGTTTTAACATATACTGGCCACCAGTGGCTCACTCCTGTAATCCTAGTTACTTGGGAGACTGAGATCAGGAGAATCCACGTTCAAGGCTAGCCTGGGGAAATAGTTCATGAGATTCCGTCTCCAAAATAACCAGAGCAAAATGTGGCTCAAGTGGTAGAAGGCCTGCTTTGCAAGAAGCCCTGAGTTCAAACCCTTCCCACTCAAAAAAAAAAAAAAAAGAATCCATGTAATCAGGACTAGAAGGGAGTTTCCACAACCAGATAAAATGCATCTGTGAGCATCCTACGGATAAGAGTGTACCAATATGCAGTAGATCCTCACATCCCCGACGGTCCCTTGCTATAGAGATGTGGAAAGCAGAGGGGTAGAGGTAAGAGTGGAGTATGGCTGTGATGTAGTCAAAATCTCTCCTTGTGCTTCAAGTCCAGAGTCCAGACAAGGCATCTACTTTGAGAACTACTGATCCTCAATGTGGCAGGTGCCAGGCTGTGCTGCAGCACTGCCTCTATGAACACTGCAAGGAAGGGAGGGAAAGAGAGGGCAGGAACCTGCTGTGACCCAGGCAGGAGCTTCACGATCACACTGTGACCACCCAGAAGTGTTTCCAATGACCCAGGAGAGAGGAAATTGTTTGCATGAAGACCCTCAGCCTGCAGGTGTTACAAGTGAAAGCTTTGGAAGCACAACATGGAGGAATGCCCAAGCTGGCCTGGAAGGGAGTCCTTGCCTCTCCAGGGGCGACTGTAAGAGTCACAGGAGACTCTCTGCACCAGGAATGGAAAGGAGAAACACTGAAGCTGTGGCCTCTGGTCTCCTGTCTTGATGACTGCCCTCTCCCTCTGGGTTTCTGGAACCACTTCCCAGGATCTAGTAATCAGAAATCTTGCCTAGCAACTAAATCAGATAAGTAGAATTTTTTCATGAGTCCAAATCCTGGAGTAAATGCTAGAGCCAGAGAGGCCAATAGGATTTCCAGTTCTGGTGAACAGGAAGTAGCTCCATTCTTCCCAGGTCTTTCCTCTTAGAACTAAAAAGTCCTCTTAGGAATCACTATAGTTTGCAAGAAAAGAAATTGCTGTGCTTAACCTAGATTCACTCTTCAGAAGCACTGGTTTAAGCGGATTTGATAGGTGAATCTGCTTGGGCATCTCGGGATAACCTTGGCACTCACTCTCTAGAAGACAGTACCAGGTGCTGCTGCAAGTCCGCTCTGAGGAGAGTCAGGCCTGCACCAAAGCCTGGACTTCAAATGTCCCTTGGTCGTTGAACTGTGAGAAGTTGCAGCAGCCACTTCATTTCAGGGTGGACACCACAGACACTCCCATGGTTTGGAAAACCATTTGGAGGTTATTGGCTCTTTAACCATACTGTGAAGAAATAATTCAAATCTACAGTTAAAATTTACTTAGTTTGAAAAGTCTCAGTCAGTGCATGTTGGTTCTGGAAACTAGGAAGTGCAAAGTCAGGGTGCCAGCACAGTGGTTTCTAGGAAGAGCTCTGTTCCTGTCCTGTGGATGGTCAAGTTCTCCCTATGTCCTTACCCTTCTTACTTTGTCACCATTCGCCTTCTCTTGAGGCAGCCACCAGGAGGCACTGTGCGTTCCATTCCCTCAGAGATGAGCAGTCGGTCAACAGCCATCTTGGAAGCACATCCTCCAGCCCCACCCAGGCTTCAGGTGACTGCACCTTCATGAGACCAAGTTAGAACGATACAGCTGAGTAAACTACTCCTGGATTTCTGATCCTCAGAACTTTCGGGTATTTTTGAGTCAGGATCTCTCTATGTTCAGGCTAGCTGGCCTCGAACTAGCAATCCTCCTGCCTCATCTTCTCAAGTGCTGGGATTATAGCTGTGCACCACCTTGCCTGGCAACAAAAGGTACTGTTACTGATGAACGGGGGTATTTCAGATGCTCCTCAGTCCTTCGGATGCACTGTCTAAGATTAAGATGCTGTTCCAGGCGCAGCAAAAGAACCACAAAGAGTAGGAAGATAGCAAAGTGAAAGCACGCTTTGAGGTATGAGGTGTAAGGGTCTACTGCCCAAAAGCCGTTGTGGGTGTGGTTACTAGGTGGCAGGAAATTAGTATCCTCTTCTTGTGACTCCTTCCCAAATGGTTTCACTACTGTGCAGTGACTGCCAGGGTGTGGGAAGTCACATGCCTGTGCCTTTGAGAAGGTGAGGGCAGGTGTGGGAGCCTCTGATCCTTTTTAGCCCTTCAGTGTTTAGAACTGCCAGTGGAAGGTTATATAGTGGTCACTAGGCCTTAAGAGTGCATGCGTGACCCTGATAAGGGGTGTATGCTTCCTGACGATACAGGGTCATCATTATCTTACTCATCGTCCAGGATGTGAGCCACCTGTGGTTTTATGATTCTGTCTCTTTAAACGGAACAGAGTATCTCATGTAGCCTGAGATTCTTCCTCATTCCTGCTCATGTCTCCACAGCTGCCTACCTCACACGGCCTGGGATTGGAGTTCTGCACTTTGTGGAACCTGCCTGTGCTGAGTTCGGGTGCCACCTGAGGGGGCAGGGCCAGGAGTGGTGCCAAGTAGAAAGGCCTGGGGCTTTCAGACTTGCTGGGAGGAGTAGGCAGCTGGGTGCCATGTTTCTTCCCTTCTCTTCTTCGTTTTTTAATAAACTAAGACATACAGGGATAGTGAAAGAACCACAACACACCATCCCTCTTAAAGCACGTTACTTCCTTCAAAGGCCATTTGCCATGTTTCCTTCTGTAAGTCAATTAGAGAGAAATGAGAAAAGGCTGAAAAATAAATGAGAATTATTTACACTGGTGAATTAAACAAGGGATGAAAAAAAGAAATGTAATCTACTGGACAGAAGCTGGGCAGGTTGTCCTTAGAATTTTCTAGATAGAAAAGGAATGGATCTAATTGAACCTGGAAGGTTTAAGGTAGAACTATGTGAGGTTTACTGGACCTCTCTTTGGAGATTTAGTAATAAGATAAAAGGAAAAACTAAACTTTGAAAACATCCTGGGCTGCTAACCCTTGGGTTAGAGAGAAATTAAAATGGAAATGAAAGTAAATTCTAAGAGAAAAGAAAGCACATTTTGAAAACAGCACTCACAAAATGAGCACTCTGTTTCCTCAGGCAGCTAACACAGAAAAGACTGCAAGGCACTCTGACTGCTGCGACGTTAGGAGACCTGGAGACCAAAGTCTCTGCAAGTCTCTGAAGACTGACTGTGGGCTTGTGACCCAGTGAGTCAGGGATGGCACCTGCACACCGGGCTCTTCCTATTTCTTCAGTTGCCCAAGAAAACTAGGTTAACTCTCCAAGTTCCAAACACACATCTGTGTTTTGCAGACCTGGAAGTGAAAGGAAGGTTACCAAGTTAGCCTAGTCTTTCAAGGAGCAGTATTAAAAGTTCAAGTTCCCTGACCACATCCCTGTGTTTCACACTTACTAAGTTCTAAAGGAGCAAAGCAATCAACAGTGTGCACCTTACCTGGGCTGCTAATAATATGCAGGTGGATGCATTCCAGTTTCTTGATTTTTTTTGTTGTTGTTGTTAATCAACCAATTCTCACTATGACATTCAGGAATCATATGGAGAGGTTCTGATTTGGGGTTTCAATGAGGTCATTAAAAATGGACCACAGAAATAAGAGAATATACTTAAAGTCACAAATGTGTTGAGATCTAAAAGACTAGGACTGTAGGGCAGTAGTGTGCTGTTTGCTGAATTGATCACCAGGATGACTGATGTCCAGAAAGCTCTGACCACCAGCAGTAGTCCACAGTGCTTGACAATGGGGCCAGAAGGAGTAGCGTGATGCTATGGTGACCAGGAGAAGCTATTTCGAGTTTTTGTTTGCTTCCTTTTACCTTTGTTTCATGCAGGGTTTTGACTTGACAGTTTTTGGCATTTTCTGCTTTTGCTTCTGTTTTATCCCTTTAACCTGGTTTCCACTAACCCTCTTACCTTCTTGGGATTATTGTATAGATTTTTTTTCTTTTGTAGTATAAAGCATTTGTTTTCATCTTCTGGGTTTTTGAGTCCTTGCTTAGTATTGTCTGCTGGTTTACCATCACAAGTTACCTTAATTCATCCTCTGTGGTTTTGAATTTTTGCTTCTTTGTTCATCTTTAACAGAGATAAGGTACAAGTTTATTCTTCACCAAATTTTTATTATCTACTATGTGCCAATACTATTCTTCTCTCATCGTGGAAGGTTTCTCCTCCACCTTTGCCAACTTAAATCCACCCAACTTGAAAGTATAGAAGAAACCCTGGCTCAATGATTATTAGCCTTCATGTTCTCTGCCCTGGTGATGATTTCTTGTATCTCGATGCTTATTCCCCAGTTAAGCTCTAAGTTCTTGAGGGTAGATATCAGGACTTTACTCATTCCTCTAGAAAAAAAAAGTATTGTGTGTGGAGAGCCAAAGCATTAAAGGTACCACTTACTAAAGTATCTTACAATTGGCAAGAATTGTTAAATTATCAGTATGCATATACACAATATATATATATTCTCTCAAATAGAATGCTGACTTCACACTGACTACTGCTGTTAATAAATACTTTTGTTCAGCACTATTTTGCAGACCATTTTCTAAACACCAACAAGGACAGTAAAGTAAGTTTGCATTTTAGAATTTTCCCATTCTATTACTCCAGTGGTTTAATGATAAAAGTTTTTTTTAAAGATTAAAGTGAAAATATTCCATTCTTCTCCTACCAAATCCCTTAGTATGAACCTGAGCAAAATAATGCTGGGTTAAGAAACTAAGTGCTATTATTTTAAAATGAGAAGTTTCAGGGTAATGTAGATGTGTACTTAGAAAATTATTTTTTCATAATTTATAATTTTTTTATTAATCTTCGAAAAAGGGTGACTTTCCTCCTATATCTCTGGTGTTATCCCACAGACAGCATGTCTGAAAACTTTGATTTTGTAAATTGACTCTGTATTTTGGATTATTTCATCTGGAGATGAACAAAACACTGTGACCAAGATGCTGAGGACTGTTGGGTCTTGTTTTTCAGGTGGTTGGCAACACAACATCTGGAAGCTACAGTTACAGCATCCAGAAGAGTCTGGCTTTCGCCTATGTCCCTCTTGAGTTAAGTCAAGTGGGACAACAAGTGGAGGTTGAACTATTAGGTAAAAATTACCCAGCAACCATCATACAAGAACCTTTGGTATTGACAGAACCAGCCAGAAACCGGCTTCAGAAAAATGATAGAAAGGACAAACCTTGAAGAAGACTATTACCAGTCAGCTGGATTATAGTTGTTATATGACTATACTTGAAATTACTGTAATTGGTTCCTGGGGAATAGAGTAAACCAAGAATTCATTTCAAAATCATCGAAGTCTAGATTTAGAATCTTAATAAAACTTTTCCCTTAATTGTGTTCTAAGCAAGATAGAATAACTCATTAGTAATTTACATTGTTCTTCCAGATGAAGAAATTTAAAATAGATGCTTTTTGTTACCCCATATTTTTGTTTATGAAACCAAATCAGCAAAACATTAGGTGCTTGTCAATATACATTCGTCATAGTAACTGAATAAAAGGATTTATATAATTTTTGGAACATAGCATCTGGTTGGTAGCTGAAAACAAAATTAATAAATTATCTTGCATATAAAAACAAAAGCAATCTTATTGATGGGTTTACTTCATTGAGAAGTCTTTCCCGAGTTGAATAAGTGATAGTACTAATTTTCACAATATATCTGTGATAAAATTAGTAAAATTCAATATCAGTTTACCACCAACATTTCTATTCAGTTCTCTGAAATACTTTTTCTTAATGGCTTCCCTGAAAGCAGCTTTATAAGACAGGATGATTGTCCTTCCCAAGGCTGTTTTTAGTAGAGAAATTGCAAAAAAGAACAGAATTTTCCAAAGGAAGCGGTACTTGTAAACCTTCAAAAATGAAGCTGAAACCTAAATAGATTGTGCCAGTACAAACCCAGTGTGAATACTGAACACCTCTCCTTGTGAAAGAATTAATGCAAGTTGACATCACATGGTGTCTTTCTGAATATCTTTTCACAAAGCATTTGACAACACAGGTCAAACAAAGGCTTATGAGCTGACAGGATTGCCCTAAGTGCTATCTATGTACAGCAACAAAAAAAAAAAATTAGAAACAATTTTTTGATTTATCACTCAAAATTATTTGAGTTTAGTTCACTGAATATATCAAAAGGGTTGTTTTTGGTAAAAGGTGGTTTATCATTTATAACTTATTTGTATACATTTATTGCACATTTATTGAACTTTTCCTAGATATCAAAGAAAGTGGAATAAGAAACATAAGATTCTATAATTAGAATAAATTCTAAAATGATTTCTTAACTTGTACATTTTGAAAAGATACGAAATTTACATTTTAAATTGCTTATAAGAACAATCATATACTAGAACTCTCTAATCTGCCATTCATTTCTTTTTGGTATGTCTTCTCACATAAGAAAGGAGGCAATTCCCATGGTTTACAAACATTTCCTGATTATCAGGAATATTATCCTGGTTCCCAGTTAGGTGTTAGGTGCTTGTTAAAGGCCCTGACTGGGAATTAGGAGGTCCTTTTCTTAATCTCTACCTCTCTGTTTCCTTATGACCTTGGGAGAGTTACTTACCAGCTCTAGGTTTTCCCTCTGTGAAGTAGGTTTAGATTCTTCCAGTTTTTTTAGATGCTATAATAGCAAGAAGCAATAATGATAGTATGACATTAAATTTGTCATACATTTAAAATGTCAGCAGAACCTATAAATAAAAAGAAGAGGACATTCAGATTATCCTTTCCACACTGTAAGTCTACTTCCCGATTTTCTTTCTTTTTTTTTATTGTTTTATTATTCATATGTGCATACAAGGCTTGGTTCATTTCTCCCCCCTGCCCCCACCCCCTCCCTTACCACCCACTCTGCCCCCTCCCTCTCCCCCCAACCCTCTCAATACCTGGCAGAAACTATTTTGCCCTTATCTCTAATTTTTTTGAAGAGAGAGTATAAGCAATAGTAGGAAGGAACAAGTGTTTTTGCTGGTTGAGATAAGGATAGCTATACAGGGAGTTGACTCACATTGATTTCCTGTGCGTGGGTGTTACCTTCTAGGTTAATTCTTTTTGATCTAACCTTTTCTCTAGTTCCTGGTCCCCTTTTCCTATTGGCCTCAGTTGCTTTTAAGGTATCTGCTTTAGTTTCTCTGCGTTAAGGGCAACAAATGCTAGCTAATTTTTTAGGTGTCTTACCTATCCTCACACTTCCCTTGTGTGCTCTTGCTTTTATCATGTGCTCAAAGTCCAATCCCCTTGTTGTGTTTGCCCTTGATCTAATGTCCGCATATGAGGGAGAACATATGATTTTTGGTCTTTTGGGCCAGGCTAACCTCACTCAGAATGATGTTCTCCAATTCCATCCATTTACCAGCGAATGATAACATTTCATTCTTCTTCATGGCTGCATAAAATTCCATTGTGTATAGATACCACATTTTCTTTTTTTTTTCTTTATTATTCATATGTGCATACAAGGCTTGGTTCATTTCTCCCCCCTGCCCCACCCCTCCTTACCACCCACTCGCCCCTCCCTCTCCCCCCTCCAATTCCCAGCAGAAACTATTTTGCCTTTATTTCTAATTTTGTTGAGAGAGAGTATAAGCAATAATAGGAAGGAACAAGGGTTTTTGCGTTGAGATAAGGATAGCTATACAGGGCATTGACTCACATTGATTTCCTGTGCGTGTGTTACCTTCTAGGTTAATTCTTTCTGATCTAACCTTTTCTCTATACCTGTTCCCCTTTTCCTATTGGCCTCAGTTGCTTTAAGGTATCTGCTTTAGTTTTCTCTGCGTTAAGGGCAACAAATGCTAGCTAGTTTTTTAGGTGTCTTACCTATCCTCACCCCTCCCTTGTGTGCTCTCGCTTTTATCATGTGCTCATAGTCCAATCCCCTTGTTGTGTTTACCCTTGATCTAATGTCCACATATGAGGGAGAACATATGATTTTTGGTCTTTTGGGCCAGGCTAACCTCACTCAGAATGATCTCCAATTCCATCCATTTACCTGCGAATGATAACATTTCGTTCTTCTTCATGGCTGCATAGAATTCCATTGTGTATAGATTCCACATTTTCTTAATCCATTCGTCAGTAGTGGGGCATCTTGGCTGTTTCCATAACTTGGCTATTGTGAATAGTGCCACAATAAACATGTACTTCCCGATTTTCTTGGAAGTCACCCCAGCATCCCCACTCGCACAGTGGTGCTGAACTCAACACCAGCCAATTCATTGCTCATCAGTTACATGCAACACAGCTGAGCCGTGGAAGATGAGTTAACCATATTTCTCCCATGGAATTATGAACTATGATCCATCAGAGTTCATCATCTGAGGGAGAGACAGAGACAGGGAGAGACCAGTTTTCCAAGCTCTTAGTGACTGATGGCCTGTCCACCAGTTCCTGGATGAGAACTTTGACTCAGAAGAGCCCAACTACTTGCTTCTGGAAAGTGGACCTGACACTGAGAGAGGCCTCCAAGGAGTAGGCCCAGGATTGATGTCAGCCGTGAACAGCAAACAGCTAGCATGTTTAAGAGAACTGCGGTGATGTGCACAAGCCATGTCTTCAGCTCAGGAAGAACATTCTCAAGGATGGGATGATGAATGAGAGACTCTTCCCTTGAGCAAGGGAAGCTTTTTGGAACTGCAAAAGCACATCTCAGTTACACATTGTCAGAACACTTATGCCTGTTGCGTTGCTAATGTTCACATCCTAACGAGTCTGTGTCTTTCTCCTTTTCTGCTGATGAGGAAAGGTGACAGGAAAAAAAATTTTTTTTAAGTATGCTGTATGGGACATTAAATTGCAGACAGACCAGATTCTGGAGTTGTACCAAGAGAATTTTGTGCATATTGAAATTGAACAAAAGAAAGGGTTAAGATTATCAAGAGACATAGCAGCTGTGGAAGGAAAAAGTGTTAGCATTCTTTAACCAAAGTCCCCCAAAAAGCAGAGAACCCAAAATCAAGTTAATTATGTACTTTGGATGAATCTGCATATAAAAACATAAATTACCACTGAGCTTTATCTCCCTGCCATTAATGAGTCTTTAAAATAGTTCAGTATTTTACAGAAAGCTGCATCATGAATGATAAAATGGTGACACATTACTGAACAGTACTTTCTCCAGGTATAGATCTTTGAAGTGTTAACAGGCCATGAAGCATTGGAAGTGTGACTCAAAGTCCACTGGACTGGAAGTCACCAGATTTGCTTTCCTAGCTCTGTGATCCACCAACACAGTCCATATAACATGTACTAAAGACTGTCCTGTCTTGCACATGCTGCGTAATTGCAGCATTCCTTAGTCTACAGATACCTGCTGAGCCCTGGCACTGGAAAAGCAGTGGTGATCAAGACAGACGGTGCCCTGCCTTTACAGAGTTTATAGACTAGAGAGGTCTAGGGCAACTTTTAACTAGGGGGAGAAAAAAACCCAGGTAAATATTTAGTTACAAATGACAGACATCATGAATACCAAAGGGAGAAAACATTTTGAGAATGAGGGGATGGCAAACTCTCAGAAAATAAAAGAGATGTCAAGCTGAAAAGTGCCCCTCGGGGTTAATCAGAGGCGTCTTGGTGCCATTGGCATGCACAATTTCAGGGACCAGTGAGGACAAAAGCCAGGCTCCTTTGCAGAAAGGGAACATAATTTTATTAGCCAGGAGCAACTAGCGTCCTGATAAGATGAATGATAAAGGGTTATCAGTTATGTACCTCTGGCTGGACTTGAACTTGCAATCCTCCTGCCTCGGCCTCCTGAATGCTGGGACTAAAACTGTGTGCCACCATGCCAAGGTGTCATGGTATACCCTCGGTGTTCCGGGGCCTATGGTTCCCAGGAACTCACCTTGAGGGAAAATGACCAATCCTCAGTATGCACAGTGTCCAGTGCTGTAACATGCATATTTGATTCATTTTTCCCAGAATTCTGCCCAACTTAAACCAAAGACACGTGGCTTTTCAACACATCTCACATTTCCACTTTAACACTTCAAGTAAGCACATTAACCTTTACATTGCATTTGGGGCACCATTTACTTTTTGGGAGGCAGATTTTCACAAAATCAAGGGCAGGGAAACACTGAGCAGATAACACAACGATTTAAACACAACTGACTGAGAGCTTTTCCCTATCAGCTGAGCTGTGTAATGTACACACAGGAACTTAAAATTTTGTTCTGGAAAAGTGTACTTCTGTGTCTAATCACTTTGGTCAAAACCACGTGTAATCAATTTGTAAATGAGGTGGGCTTCCTGTATTTATATAGTAATGAACATTGTATTCCTCACAGACATTAATCTGGAGAGCCCCCAGTTATATCATGGGTCCCCAACACTCACAGACTCACAATGCATTCATTTTGAGAAAGTTTTAAATTGCTGGAATCATTCAAGTTTACTGGAGGGACAGTTTGTGTCTTCTATCCTTATTGAATGAGTTATCCCACATTTAAACAGTAGATTGAAAATAAACAATGACAGCAGAGGATTGTAAATACAAAGAAGCAATTGAGTTTCTTCAATTCTGTCGTTCTATGTGACCAGAGTTTCAATTTGTTTATTATGCATATTATAAAACAGAAGGCAAGCTGTGAGGTTTAATGTTATGTTCAGTAATAGAAGTTTTAGTTCATACACAAAATACCTCACTGTTTATGAATGTACCCTTCAATTTCAT